AAATCTTGGGTGGTATACAGTGTTGTCATTAGTCATATAATTTAAAATTAACACCATTGGCAAATGCTGCTTTCAAACTTCTGTTGAAACATCATAATATATAAGCACAGAAGGGCTTTTTTTGCTGATTTGGATTTACATTTGTATAATATACAGTCAATAACTTGAGAGTTCTTGTTATAGATTGGTTACTCTTTTTCAGTATATCCCTTGTTTTTGTATCCTGTTATTCATTCAAAGGGCTTAATTAAATGAATCAGAGTATAAGCACACATTTGCTACAACAATCGCAATTCCCCAGAGATAATTTTCTTTGGCTTGTCTTGCTGGGATTTCCAGGAAAGTTCCCAGAAGCAGTTTCACAGAATAGAGGGATTTCTCCTTTTAAAACCTTTTTTTTTTGGTGTTACACAAATTTGAATCCAGAAGAGTTTAATTTTTGAGAAATAACCATGAATACTACATGCATGTGTGCTTCTATAATAACAAAATCTTCAGAATAAATTGAATTTAAGTTGAATCTTATTTGATTTCTGTGGTTGGCTTTGGAAACATTTGGTAGTTATTTTCCATTGAAATTACAGCCGCTTGGGGCAGCAATATGCTGAAATGTTTCTCTTGTTATTTTGTCTCTGTAATATTACTTTTAAAAGTATTTTTTTCCCTTATTTGCTCTGTTGTGTATACTTGTCTTTTACATGGCAATAGATAATTCTGCATTTGCTATTGGTGGTCTTCGTCTTAGTGTGCATGTATCTGTGTTGAAGGGGTACAATTTGTAGCTCTGTAAAGAGCGTTGTTCTTTGATTTTGAGAAAAGGAGAAGGAGAGATTTTAGTTTACATTCATATGGCTGAAATAAAAATGTGTCCTCTCCATTCAAGAATGTGGCCGTGATTTTCCAAAATGACTTGTAAAGCTTAGATGGCTCCATTTATTGGTGACTACACTGGCACATTGCTCAGAAACAAGTTCTTAGAGGAGAAGGTTCAGCATTACAGGCATTTTTAACAGGACAAGCTGCCCCAAAGAACTAGCAAAACTTTTAACTGCTGCTGACTGTGAGTGCAGTGCAGTTCTCCCGGTCTCTGCTGCATGTGTTGGGTCAAGGTGCTTGATTCTGTATTAGACTTTAAATAAAGGCGATTCACGTCTCATTGTACTGACAGTCTGATGATAACAGGCATTGAAGAAGCACATGGAGGAAGTGAAAAGGGAGAAGTTCTGGTATTTGTTTATTTAGCTTATAAACCTAGAGATTAAATAAAGATATTTCTACGTGCGCAAGTGAAACCTTCTTAGCACACAGCAGACTGACAAGGTACAAGCCAGCTTTAATTCAGAAACTCTACTGCTATGTCAGCACACCACAATTTAGCAGGAAGTATTAACTCAGGCAATAGCAGGCAAAGTAACCTGCTAACCTTGTTGCACAATGTTTGTGCTCATGCCTAAGAGCTCAACTGGTGTTTGTTGCGACTGTTATACCTAGGAGCTCCAGCTGATACATGATTCCAAATGGCAAATACAAGCTAAAAAAGAGAACCTGCTTCCAAAACTTCAGCGTGAATTGAAAGGAAGCTTAGATGGAAATGATCATCCAGCTCCATCACTTGCCAAAGCAAGACTATATCCTGCAGTCTGTTTTCTAGCATTTGCCGGTCTGGATATAAAAGCACCAAGTAGGATCCGAGTCCGAGAGACTGTTCCATTGTTTAAAGGACATCATGCCAGTACATTGTCTTCCAAAATGAAGTATTTGTTTTTTCTTATCTTAATTACATCTTATCCTTGGTTATGTTCTGAGATACCCGGAGACCAGTAACGAGTGGTGTCCCTCAGGGATCGGTGTTGGGACCGGTCTTGTTTAACATCTTTGTCGCTGACATGGACAGTGGGATTGAGTGCTCCCTCAGCAAGTTTGCCGATGACACCAAGCTGTGTGGTACGGTTGATATGCTGGAGGGAAGGAATGCCATCCAGAGGGACCTTGACACACTTGTGAGGTGGGCTGATGCCAACCTCATGAGGTTTAACCATGACAAGTGCAAGGTCCTACACCTGGGTTGGAGCAATCCCAGGCACAGCTACAGGTTGGGCAGAGAAGAGATTCAGAGCAGCCCTGCGGAGAAGGACTTGGGGGTGCTGGTCGATGAGAAAATGAACATGAGCCGGCAGTGTGCGCTCGCAGCCCAGAAAGCCAACTGTATCCTGGGCTGCATTAAAAGGAGCGTGACCAGCAGGTCAAAGGAGGTGATCCTGCCCCTCTACTCTGCTCTTCTGAGACCTCACCTGGAGTATTGTGTGCAGTTCTGGTGTCCACAACATAAAAAGGACATGGAACTGTTGGAACAAGTCCAGAGAAGGGCCAGGAGGATGATCAGGGGACTGGAGCACCTCCCGTATGAAGACAGGCTGAGAAAGTTGGGGCTGTTGAGCCTGGAGAAGAAAAGGCTGCGTGGAGACCTCATAGCAGCCTTCCAGTATCTGAAGGGGGCCTATAGGGATGCTGGAGAGGGACTCTTCATTAGGAACTGTAGTGACAGGACAAGGGGTAATGGGTTAAAACTTAAACAGGGGAAGTTTAGATTGGCTATAAGGAGGAAATTCTTTCCTGTTAGGGTGGTGAGGCACTGGAATAGGTTGCCCAGGGAAGTTGTGAATGCTCTGTCTCTGGCAGCGTTCAAGGCCAGGTTGGATGAGGCCTTGGGTGATATGATTTAGCGTAAGGTGTCCCTGCCCATGGCAGGGGGTTTGGAACTAGATGATCTTAAGGTCCTTTCCAACCCTAACGATTCTCTGATTCTCTGAGATACCAAATTAAAATCTGTCATTCTTAAAGGCTGTAATAGAGCATTGGCTATTACAGTTCACCTTTGTGTCATCTAGCTGACCAGCCTGGTGTGTTGATCACAATAAGGGAAGGGGCTGCTCAGCTGTGTGAACATAATTTCTCTATGTCACAGGGACCAGGGCAAATGATTGTTTCCTTCCTCTCATTTGTAATTTAGTCAAGCAGAACAAAAAATTTCAGCCATTTGCCTACTCTATGTTGTCTATGATTGTGAATTTTTCAGTGTCTTGAAACAGAATTGTTCCCCACAAAATACACACTTCAGAGCCAAAACCCAAACAAGTCCCACTCTAATTGTTAGATCACTCAATAAATTTGGACTTCTTTGCCATTGAATTTAAATGGCTGTTGACATCTTAAGTCACTAACATTCCTTTTAAACCCCTCCCTATTGTATAATTATTACTTTATGTATTTTCTTCTGTAGCTTATGAGGTGCCCAGTGTCCCAAGAGGACTGACCTTTACAGTGGATGGTACAGGTGTCCAGTTTCAACAGAGAGGACCAGTGTAGCCTTGCCTCTTGGCTGCTGCTTAATGCAGTCCCGGGGAAAAGGAAGAAGTAGATTCAAACCTACCCTACGAAAGTGTTTTAAAATCCAGGTCACTCGTTTCCCAATATTTTATCTCAACGTTGACTCCTGCTGAGAAGATAACAAAGATTTAGAGCTCCAAGGCCATTACATGTGTGTGGTTTTGTGCTTTCTGATAACATTTAATTAGAAAAAGATATGTTTTTATTTCTGAGATAATTCTATTTTGCTAGTATAAATAGTATTCAGAAAGATATTTTTTTATGTCCAAAATTAGTTGTATACCACTATGCATATCTGGTACTGAATTTAGTAATGTTGAAAAAGAACAATAAAGAGGAAGTGTTTTGGTACAAACACCAGTTTTGGTATGAAAACATTTTCAGCTATGAGGCTCCATTAGTTCTGCAGTTAGCAAATACTTCAGTTGACACTGTTGTCAAACCAAGGACATAAAACTGAGAGTGTGATATGTTATCTGCTGCCAATTACGTAAGTTCATGATGCATAAGTTATTGCAAAAAATAAGGTCATGACTCCTAAACCAATTCCTTTTGAAGTTGTAGTTCTTCATAAAACCTCCCTCATACTTGTATATTTTTTTGGTTAACTCTTAACTGAATTTATGCGAGTGCTTATGAAAATGAAATATTATATGACATTTTAAAAAAAAGCAGAACCTTGCATGGTCTACATGAATACCAATTTGTTGATATCAATTTTTTATAGAGAGGGGAATCTGTCTAAAATACGTATTTTAGTTTCTAAACAAAGAGCTTAATCAAAGTTCCCTATCAAAATGTTGTTTGAAAACAAATTATTTTGACCACCAAGCATAAATATTAAAGTTATTATGGAACATTATCTAGTGGATAGGTAAGAGGATTAGGATTCAACCTGCACAGTTCTTGTCTTACCTTTTATATGGTCTTTTATGGTAATCTTACAGTAATCACTGAATATTTGATTGCCTTCATTTATCTTTCTGTATGGCTAAATATGAATAAATGTCATATTTGTCATATCAAAATGCCATGTAAATAATAGACTTAAGCCTTCATTTGAAAAATTCCAGCAGAGCTGGAAAGAGTGTCAGAGGAACGAATCACTCCACTGAGAACTGGAACACTGAGGTTCTTCTTCATGTCTGGGCCAGATGTTTCAGAAACTTTAAGAATCAAACTATCATGATACTAAAGATGCTTAACACCTTCATCCTAATGTAAAAGACTTGTTAGAGGATCATACAGGGTCGGGGGTTTTTTCACTTCAGACGAAAAGGTATGACTTAAAAGGTATGACTTTTAAATACTGCCTCTTTTGAAAATTTGAATGAACCACGACCTTTGGAGATTATTTGACAAAGCTACCCCTAGAACAGCTAGTAGTCCTTGTTCTGTCTTATTCAACTCAAGGGCTGAAAACCAGGTGTTTCGTAGTCTACTAAATCACTTTACCAGAAGTCTTTGTTGTTTTTTTTCTCTTGAATTTTTGGGACCCCTTCAGCTACCTTTTGTTGCTCTGCAACTTACCAAGTTTTTGCAAATTGTTACCTATTCACTGGCCTGGAAAAACATCAATGCAATAGTCCAATGAGCAGTCTAAGTTCAAGCCCTTATTCCAATTAATTTTTAATTTTTTATAGAAAGTGAAACAGGTCCAACAGAGAGACAGAGGAAGGTGTTAATCAGAATAACTGATAGTTTGGTGGCCAGAAAGCTTGCCTGGGATGCGGGATTCTGATATTCAGACATCTTGGAGAACACAAACTTGAAATGTGGACTCCTCTGGCACCAGGTGGTGTCTTGATCATAGGATGATTATCTGAGAGGGGTGACAGTTTTCTTGCTCTGTCATGTATTCCAAGTCTCATCCTAGGCATTAGAATCTTTCCCACGTAAGAGCTTCATGAGAACTGGTAAGTACCTTAAAAAAGTTCTGGTCTTAACAGAATATAATTCATTAGTGAAAAAATGCATCACTGTAAACTCTGATGGGGGCATGACTAGTTTTCATGACCATGTAGGTCCAGAGTGGCCATTGCGAAGATTTCTCAAAGTCCTATGTTTGAAGGAGAGGTCAACAGGCAGTGCTGAAGGGCATGAATCTCCGGAATTCTGTAGAATACCAAAGCATATGTCTGCATAAGTGTCAGACTTTTAAATCAGCTGTTGTTACAAAAGTTTAACAATGGGGAAATGGTTACATACAAACATTGGTTTGGGCATTAGGCTTATAAGTCTTGCTTATGAGTCTTGGTTTCAAACTCTTCAGCTGACATTGATATGAACATAGGGCATAAAACCTGGACCCTGACATGTGATCTGTTGCCAGTTGCCTTCAAACTATCGTGTCTGATGAGGAAAAAAAGAGAGGAAGTGGATGGAGAAATGGGACAGGTCATCTGAACTCTGATAATTAATGTTCCTTAGAAAATAAAAGTTTTGAAACTTTCCTGGAAATGAGGTTTTATGATCTGCTACAATGGCCCACCGGGGATGCTGCAACCTACACATATTGACAATTGTGGTATTATCAGACAGTTCATTTTTATGAGTAATTTCCAGAGCAATCCTCAGCCGTGCAGTCACGCATACAGTGAAACAGTGTGCCATACAAGAAAAGCTCAGCTAGAGGGCAAAGATTATACAGATTTATTAATATTTGGGAAAAAGATCTTAACAGCAGAAAGTAAGTTGAGCAACAGAAGGGGGAAGAAGGAATGGACTTGACAGCAAAGTGAGCTCTGTAAAGGATGTGATGCAGAACACAGTGAACTCAATGGAAATATTTCCATTGATTTCTTAAGTTCTTGGATAGATCTCAAACGCTTCTTCTTATACCTTTCCCCCTCCTTTTTCCATATGAATGGAAAATACATTCTTTCTTGTTCACAACTAGCATAATTTAGTGTCCAGCATAACAATAAAAATATTGATCACACTTGGGATGTTAGAGCAAAGAATCCCTACCTAAGCAGCCCCAGAAGTGGCTTGACTTTTCCAAGGGTTGAGCAACTTGCAAATTCGAACAGTACCTTCATCTTTTCATTAGACTCAGAATAGTCTTATCCTTTACCTAACTTTGCAAATTCCAGTCGGCTTTCTGCTTTAAAACACAGTAATGGAGCAATTGGATCTATAATACTGTTCTCTTAAATCTTTCTCCATAAACACTTTTCTTATAAAGGTAATGATCGTTTAGTCTTCTTCTGTTTATGTATAGTCTAAGTAGTTATAGCTTTTACTTTTAAACAGCTATTAAATAGTTCAGTAGTTCTTAAACCATGCCAAGGAGTACTTGGAATAAAAGAACAATGATTAGAAGTTACTGAAAATGAAGTTGAAGAGCTGAATTTGATTATATATCTTTCAGAATTAAAAAATAGTTCTGTCAAAGTCCCTATTAAAGAGGGTTAGAGAAAGTGATATACTTTATATGAAGTGAGGCTACATAGATCATGAATCATAGCTCCAAGTGATACATCTACAAGATCCGCTTGATCATCTACTTTCAAAATCCTTCCTTCTATGGGAAGAAAACTTTGCTGACTAATGTAACTAGTGTTTGACAAACTCATCCTGCCATGATAGCAACTCTTATTTCATCCTACACACTGAAGAACATAATTTATCTTAACACTAGGCATTAAGCAAGGCTAGCTGTGTGGCAGTAGAATTACTAGTGTTTTCTTTTACTACTGAATTCAGTTGTAATCTGAAGTCAAGTCAAACGTGGTTTAAGTACTCTGTTGATTATTTTCTTTAACATGGTTTGAAAGACCAAGGCCGCTTTATTGCATTGGGTAGGTAAGTTACCATCAAGACATGCTGAGATGAGGAACTGGTGGCAACATACAGAAAGAGAAATGCACATTACATCCCATCACTTTGGAGATACAAGAATAAACTTCCTTATCAATAAAACTAAAACATTTTCTGTAGAGAATGATAAACAGAACTGGCTGGATGGCCATACGCAAAGAGTTGTGGTCAATGGCTCAATGTCCAGCTGGAGACTAGTAGCGAGTGGTGTCCCTCAGGGATTGGTGTTGGGACCTGTCTTGTTTAACATCTTTGTTGGCGACATGGACAGTGGGATAGAGTGTGCCCTCAGCAAGTTTGCTGATGACACCAAGCTGTGTGGTTCGGTTGATACGCTGAAGGGAAGGAATGCCATCCAGAGAGACCTTGACACACTTGTGAGGTGGGCTGATACCAACCTCATGAAATTTTACCATGACAAGTGCAAGGTCCTACACCTGGGTCGGAGCAATCCCAGGCACAGCTACAGGTTAGGCAGAGAAGAGATTCAGAGCAGCCCTGCAGAGAAGGACTTGGGGGTGTTGGTCAGTGAGAAAACGAACATGAGCCGGCTTCAGTATATGCTCGCAGTCAGAAAGCCAACCGTATCCTGGGCTGCATCAAAAGGAGCGTGACCAGCAGGTCGAAGGAGGTGATCCTGCCCCTCTACTCTGCTCTTGTGAGACCTCACCTGGAGTATTGTGTGCAGTTCTGGTGTCCACAACATAAAAAGGACATGGAACTGTTGGAACAAGTCCAGAGGAGGGCCAGGAGGATGATCAGGGGACTGGAGCACCTCCCATATGAAGACAGGCTGAGGAAGTTTGGGCTGTTCAGCCTGGAGAAGAGAAGGCTGTGTGGAGACCTCATAGTAGCCTTCCAATATCTGGAGGGGGCCTATAGGGATGCTGGGGATGGACTCTTCATTAGGGACTGTAGTGACAGGACAAGGGGTAACAGGTTAAAACTCAAACAGGGGAAGTTTAGATTGGATATAAGGAGGAAATTTTTTCCTGTTAGGGTGCTGAGGCACTGGAATAGGTTGCCCAGGGAAGTTGTGAATGCTCTGTCCCTGGCAGTGTTCAAGGCCAGGTTGGATGAGGCCTTGGGTGATACAGTTTAGTGTGAGGTGTCCCTCCCCATGGCAGGGGAGTTGGAACTAGATGATCTTAAGGTCCTTTCCAATCCTAACTACTCTGTGATTCTGTGGTTCTACAGAAAGTCCTACTGCTTGATGTATTGTAGCCTTCTCAGTAAGCAGGAGGTCAGACATGAGCAATTCTAGGTCCCTATGCATGAGCTCCTCACCTTGCTCAGTCTGTACATGGCTGGAGTGCCTGCTTGTCATTTTCCTCTCTACCAGGAGGGCAGCTGTGTCAGAAAGTCCAAATTCCATGATCTGAGGACTTACCCATACACTTCAGTAGCATTGCTGGCTTTCGTGGTTCACTCTATGTTGCTTCCTCTAAACTCTGCAAGTTAGCATTGATACATATTTTACATCTGCCATTGGTAGTCATAGTTACTGCATGTATTAGGATCTTGAAGCTGAGTCAAGGTGACCTTCATCAACAATAAGGATTTAATGAATAAAACCAGGACCTGGTTCTCTTTAAAAGATCAAAGGAGAACATCCGGGACTGACTGTGTCAAGGATAAGTTATTTGGCAGCTTGGCAAAGTGACTATTTGATTAACCAGCTTGGCACTGAAAGTAATTTTTAGGGTGTACTGAAGTGAACTGCCTTCATTATAATGGGTGGTATTCCTCAGGGTTTGGTATTGGGACTAGCACTGTTTCGCATCTTTGTCAGTGACATGGACAGTAAGGTTGAGTGCATTGTCAGCAAGTTTGCTGATGACACTAAGCTACGTGGAGGGGTAAACATGATGTAAGGAAGGGATGCCCTCCAGAGGGACCTTAGCAGCCTGGAGAGGTGGGCATGCGTGAACCTCGTAAGGTTCAACAAGGCCAAGTGCATAGTACTGCACCTGGGTCAGTGCAATCCTAAGCACAAATACAGACTGGGTGGTGAATGGACTGAGAGCAGCCCTGCAGAGAAGGGTTTGGGGGTCTTGATTGGAGAAAAGCTCAACATGACCTGGCAGTGTGCGCTCACAGCCCAGAAAGCCAACCGTGTCCTGGGCTGCATCAAAAGGAACATTACCAGCAGGTCAAGGAAGGTGATTCTCTGCCTCTGCTCTTTCTCATGAGTCCTCACCTGGAGTACTCCATTCAGCTCTGGGGCCCCAAACACAAGAGGGACATGAACCTGCTTGAGAGAGTCCAGAGGAGGCCACAGAAACGATCGGAAGGCTGGAACACCTCTCCTATAAAAATAGGCTGTCAAAGTTTGGCTTGTTGAGCTTGAAGAAGAGAAGGCTTTAGGGAGACATTCCAGCAGTCTTTCCAGTACCTAAAAAGGGGGCTTACAAGAAAGCTAGAGAGGGACTTTTTACAAGGCCATATAGTGACAGGACAAAGGGGAACAGATTTAAGATGACAGAGGGGAGCTTTAGATAAGATACTGGGAAAAAAATTTTTATTGTGAGGGTGGTGAGACACTGGAAGAGGTTGCCAGAATTGTGGATGCCCCATCCTTGGAAGTGTACAAGGCAAGTCTGGATGGGGCTTTGAGCAACCTGGTCTAGTGGAAGGTGTCCCTGCCCATGGCAGGGGGGTTGGAACTGGATGGTCTTAAGGTCCTTTCCAACACAACCATTCTATGATACTATGATTCTATGATAATATTGTCATAGAATCACAGAATGGTTTGGGTAGGAAGGGACCTTAAAGATCTAAAAAGACCTAAAGGTCTAAAGATTATTCCATGACAATATTAAAAATCACACCCACAGGTCAAAAAGACCCTTATGCAGGTGAAGACCTCTTCTCTGATCATGTGTATCTATATGAATGAATATCTAATCAAATGTTTATTAATAACCAATCAGTATGTAGTGGGACATGTACCAATCTATTATTGTTGTGCATAAAAGAGCACTGAAACTTGCTGTTCTTGTGCTTCATTTGTGGAAAAGTTCAACAAACACCTCAGCCTGAATAAATACAATATTTCTCCTGGGTGTGTGGAACTGACTTATTGCATGCTGGGCATAAATC